GGGGGGGGAGGGTTGCGCAGGACCAGCCGATGTGGCTCCACGCACGGCGCAGACTGAGCGATGCCGGAACAGCCACAGGAAGAGACGCCGGGTCCTCGTCTGGGCAACTCCCTCCCGAGCAGAATGGAGGGACCCACCTGTCGCCCGGATCCCATGGCACGTGCGATTTGCTGCTTGCCTGGATTCAGGACATCACGGCCATGATCCCAGACCTCATCTGGCCCTCTGATCACTACCCCTTGGTCCTCATCCATGTGGACATGCATGACGCGGCCGGGAGTTGTCCGAACCATGTCATGAAAAACTACAAGGCTCTGGGGGACAAGCTTAGGGAGACAGGAGCACAGGTGGTTTTGTCATCTGTTCTTCCGGTGAGCAGACATGGATGGCACCATGAGGCCTGCATCACAGAGGTCAACCGGCAGCTTCGGACCTGGTCTTACCGGGCAGCTTTGGATTCCTCGACCGCGGCTCGCACTTCCACACAGGAGACATACTAGGGCAGAGCAGGCTAAATCTCTCCCTGAAAGGTAAGCATGCTTTCTCTTCCAGGTTGGCTGATTTTGTACAGCGAGTTTTAAACCTAGGTTCGTCAGTGGATGGGGATGCAGGGGGACAGGAAGACCCTGAGACATCAAGGCGGAGGAACAACCTTCTCAACACAGCGGCTGAAAGGGATCTTGCAGTCATAGTTGATTCCAGGATGGACATGAGCTGCCAACACGTGGAAGCAGTCAGTAAGGCTAACCGCAACTTGTTGTGCATCCACAGATGCATCTCAAGCAGGTTCAGGGAGATGATCCCTCCCCCTCTATGCAGCGCTGCTCAGGCCACAGTTGGAGTACTGCGTCCAGTTCTGGGCGCTGCACTTCAAGGAGGGATGTGGCTAACCTTGAGAGGGTCCAGAGGAGGGCCACTCACATGATCAGGGGGAGCAGGGCAGGCCCTACTAAGACAGACTAAAGGTCCTAAATCTATTGGTGGCCGCCCCATGCATTCCAGGTTCCCGATGTTCACCTTGTTCAGGCTGGGCTGTCCTTGTGGGTGCCAGATGGTTCGGTGGTCCACTGATTCCCCTGCCCTCATCCTCCCCTCCCCTGATGAGGCTAGTTTAAAGCCCGCTGGAGGACATCCGCCAACCTAGAAGACCACTGTATCACCACCACTTAAGGGTGTGTGTATATGTGTGCACATGCATGTGTGTGTATGGTGGGGTGTGTGTGTGTGTGTGTGTGTGTGTGTGTGTGTGAGTGTGCATGGTAGGGTGTGTGGGAGGCTTGCGAGGTGGTGTGGCGAATAGGGTATGTTGAGGGGTTGTGTATATATGGGGATTGTGGGGACTGGGTGTGGGTGTGTGGAGTCTGTGGGGTGTGGGGGGGATGTGTGCACCCCTGCACCTCCCCCATGGTGCAGAAGGAGGCAGGGGTGCTCAGGGCACTCACAGCACAAGCACCAGAGGGGTATGGCCAGCACTGCACATCCCAGCAAAGGGCACATCCTCCGTTGGGCAGTCTGTATCGCCCGCACTCACTGACCATGAGAAGGAAGCCCCACATGCTGAAACCAGCTGCCTTCCCCACTCCTCAGGAGAAGGCAACTGGGGCTTTCCTCCTGTGCTGCGCAGCCCCAGCGGGGAGGCAGCCAGCTCCAGTGCCTGCAGCTTCTCCCTCCCCACCCCCGCATGCCTGGTGAGTGCGGGGGAGCACTGGCAAAAGAGAGGGCCCGACACAGGCTGTGCTCCTTGCTGCATGTCCAATGCAGGTAGGACACCTGTGCCAGGCATGAGTGCCCTGAGGGCACCCCGCTCCCGCCGCTGCCACTGCCTACCAGGGCTGCGCGTCATGAGGGCATTGTGGGGGGTCCCCACATCCCCCCCCTCCCTTAAACCCAGACACTGCCCAGCAGAGCTTCCTGCTGCTGATGCCT